CATAATCTGATATCAATGGCTTTTTTCCATAGATATAGATTAGTATATAGTGAAGTATAGTTAGAGAGTTTATAGTAAAGAACTGCATCTCTCTCTCCCTCTAATGCACTCAAAAGTATATACATATAAAAGTATATTCTATTTAAAAAAACGAAATTAACACTTTATTTTTTCTATATCTTCTACAAGAAAATTATTGGTATCAGATTATGTCTTTTTCGAAATCGTTCAGTCTTGTCTGAAACATTTTCTGATATCACCGAATCACCATAGTAACAAAGATATTTGTGTGCATCATTTCAAATGGAGCATGTATGTGTATCTTATCGCACATCTCCTTTGAACGTGTCATGCAAAGAGAAATACATACAGTTTTCTTTTCATACTATTACATTTAAATATATCTCCATTATGCAAGATATGAGTTTAACGCCATAATTTTGTACAAATGCAAAAGAAGCTTCAGAATTTTTCATAAATATAAAAAAAGAGTAAATATATATATATATATAATAGCGATAATACATTATATCGTATTACAAACATTAATACACATATTAATAATATTATAAACAGTATTGCGAAATTCTATTAGAAATTCAATTGTTGAAGATCCACGAATGACTATTTCGCTTCTAACGCTCCGCTATATGATTTTTTAAGAACGTGATCTGCGCTCTGGATTCTAATGTGGCCAATTCCGCCACAACAGGAACCATTTGCTGGACATGATTTTCATAATTGGAACCTATGAGATATGAGACGTTTTAATAATAGCCTCGTTGTAACATGGAATACGTACGCGCGCGGAAAACAATATTACATACCCATTGCCATTCTCTTTTCGCCATATGTAACTTTTCCATCAAAATCATTCAACGGCACCTTTATATCTGATCCGACTTGTTGAATTGTCACATTCAAATGGTCCTCAATCTCCGCCAAATACTACAGATATTTCAGTTGGTTATCCAGTTTTATACAAACAGAATTTATCTCTCGGAATTAATCCTCTATTTCGAGAGATAGAGAGCAAATTGCAAAGACTTACGTTGGGCTCATTGTACCAAGTGCAACAACCACCCTGATTAGTCAGATTGGTATTTTGACAGTTTCTCCCACGAGAAGGACACCATTCACCATGATACCACACCTTCTCCGGCACACTACTGACTAAAGAAATTGCCAGACCCATTCTCTCGGCTCTGCCGACTCGTCCGATGCGATGCACATAATTGGACTTTTCATCGGGAAGAGTTATGTTTATCACTAGAAAAATGTCATGGAGAGATACCGTAACGTGATATTTTCATACACAAAAGACTTCGCTAGAATACATTACTTACTAAAAGGCAGACCGGTAATATCTAATCCTCTGGCCGCCACGTCGGTGCAGATCAAAAATTTCACTTCCTGACGTTTGAACTTCTCCAGATTAGCCTTACGCTCCGCGGGTTTCCTGTCTCCGTGCAGGCATACACATGAGAACTGCTGTCCGCCGGCCTGTTTTAGGTATCTCTCGAGATTATCGCAATCGAGTTTCGTCCTGCAGAATATCAACGCCCGGTCCATCCTGTGTTCTTTGATGGCGCGTATACAGTACTCTCCCTTCAGCATCTTTACGGCCTCCGACAACGTCTCTGTAAGATAAGCAAGTGAGTATTAGATTGTATTGATGTCGTTACTTTTGTCGAATGAAAACGCGATTATGGTTATTATCTAACCGGCGGTATTGTTCCCTGGTCTCACGTTATCTCTCGCGTGTACACCATCGGTTTCCACGTGATTTCTCGAATTATGCCACGATTTGTCCTTCTGTGGATCTACTATCACTACGACATGATGCACAGTCTCGGGCACTGCATCTTCGCCTTTCAGATCCACCCAAGTTGGAAAATGCATTAAACGTTCCTACAATCAAAAATTCAAGTGTTTAAAATTCGATCGTGTTTTCATTTACTTTTATTCATATTATATTGGTCAATATTAAGTATGTCTCGATACAAACTTACGGCCATCTTTTTAACTTCGAATGCGTGTAACGTCGCTGAGCACACGACCATCTGCAACCTCTTGCCGTCCGATGTAATTTTTGGGATCTGTCTGTGCAGGCGATCGATAAGTTCGGTGTAACCCTGCTTCAATAATCCGTCAGCTTCGTCCAGCACAAAGAATCTTGAAATATATTAATTTATCCCTATCTGTTATTTCTTTTGTAGTTGAGCGACAAATTACCTGCAGTGCGTTAACAACAAGTAACCGCCTTGTATAAGATCCTCTAAACGTCCGGGAGTCCCGACGACTATATCCACACCTGAATTTAAGATGGCAATCTGCTCTTTCACATTTACTCCACCGATAACGAGCAGCTCTCTAATCGTTGGATTTTTCAAATGTATTTTAAACTGAAAAAATGATAAGGTCATTTTATTAATATCACATATACAATCTCGATGACAAAATTTATTTAAATTCTCATTTACCTTTTGAATTTGATTGTAGGTTTGTTCAGCTAATTCGCGAGAAGGTTCTATGATGATCGCTTGGGGCGCGTTATTTGTCGGTTTATCGCCTTCTTTTGATTGATTCTGATTGCTGCTAACGGAATTGTGCTTGATGGATTCCTTCGGAGCCGACGACACAGCCACATAGTCATTCGGAGGTGGATGCTTAAATGGTTGCGCTCCAAAATTGAAGGCCATCTCGGCATTCTTCAGC